ACTCTCTCCAGTAGCTCTTCATCTTTCTTGAACTGGGGAGCCCAGAACTGGACACAGTACTCCAGATGGGGCCTCACTAGGGCAGTGTAGAGGGGGAGGAGAACCTCCCTCAACCTGCTGGCCACACTCTTCTTAATGCACCCCAGGATACTATTGGCTCCAAAGATATAACTGTCAATGCATGAGGAGTACTGTGCCTGCCGCATCTCTTTTGCTTAAATAATTAAAAGATTCCTTAAATGCCAAACAGCTCCTTTACTGGGAAACCGTTAGCTGGAGAGGTCACCAAAGGACTTCACACTCCCTGTCCTTCACCTTCCACCAGGCAGGTTCCCCATGACATCTGTCTTCCACTCTTTTCCTCCCTCCCACCAACCTTCTTCTATGAAAGTCCTCAGTCTCCTTTTCAGTGCCCAGCTTTCTCCTTCATTGTGATTTTTTTCTTCTGTTTCTTTCCCATGTCTTTGAGCCTTCTTTTCTGTTTCCTGTAAATCTGATCCATTACAGTTTGTAGCTAGCACCTATCAAGCAAGAATTCTCAGTGAGAAACTGGGATAGCTTTAACATTAAGGATGTGCTTTGTAGGTGCTTCACTTGTCATCCTTGTTAAAGCTCACTTTGTCTCTGCAGCATAATTTAGTGTTTTGTTCAGCCAGTGTATTATTTCTTCTTTATCAAAAGGGTTCTTTTGGGTGTCTGTAACTACACTGCTGCCTAGCATGTGACTGAGACAAGCTGCGGTGAAAAGACTTTTTTTTGGTTTTGGCTTGGACCATCTGCTGGTGAAATGTTCCTATCACTAAAATCTCTTCCACATAAGGAAACTTACCCATCACTTATTACTGATGGTCAAACAGGGACATGACCATTTTTAAGACTGCTACAGCAAGTAGTGTTAGATGCTTTAAGAATTACTTTGTCGCATGTCTACTAACAGTAAATCCATTTTTAAACCAGTACAGTAAGACCTTTGCTGACTGTTGTCAACAATGAATCACTTTGTTATCGTAGAGGGAACCTTAAGAAATGCTTCAACCCAGCAGAAATATATTGTACATAATCACTCCCGAGATTCTCATTTTTTCTGTTACTGGTAGTGGATTTTGCGGCTTCCTAAATCACTTGTGACTCATGTCATTGCATCTACATACCTTTATTTCTCTGCGTGCACCATTATGTATGTACCAAAAGACAGCCAAAGAATTCAAAGGCCTTATAGGACATGTCAAGCAGAGCAAGGTAGTGGTTAGAGAATTGGGGTCTATCTCTAGCTTTGCCTGTAACTTCTTGTGAAAGGCTAATGAGATTATTTAAGGTGAATAAATCCAAGTACATGGACTTAGATATTTAAACATATATATAGTAGGAACATGGCCAAATTTTCAGGAATGATTAATTCACAAAACTTCGTTGATAGTGACCGAATCTGTTATTGTTCAGACCCTTTTGAATTCAAACCAATTTACACAGATCGCAAAGACAAGTGAGTGTTAGTATCTAAGTTTGAAAATATCCACCATTCACTGGTTTTCCTTCAATTTCTGGAAAAAAAGAAAGCATTACTTTGCCCATGGTTTCATAATGTGCTTATATATCCTGAAGTGACAGGTGATGTGTGAAAGCAACAAGTCTGTCTGTATAAAGTCATACATATTTTAATATAAGAAATAAACCTAGTGACTAAAAGAAATGTGTCATACTTGAAAAATAAATTTTGTAGCAGATGTAGAGTGCCCCTTGCATTAGGCCAGCCTTTTACCCGATAGAAAAACTAGTTCACTGATGTCTGTAGGTGGTAGAATTCCAGCATGGCATGACTCCTGCTTCATGACTCCCGCCAAAAACCAAGGTTCAGGGAATATATATATCAGGGGAATATATATATATATCAATATCAGGGAATTCTAGCCACGCCCACTGCCTACATTGACTTACAGGGGATTCAAGAGGAAAACAGCATCTATTAAAAAATTAATTGAGCTTACTTTGTTTCTTTCTATTGCTATTTTCATAAAAGCCTGGGAGGTATGGGACAGCTTCCGAGACTTTAATGACATTTCTTATCTTTCAGGCATCGGATCTCAAAATCAAAATTTAGGTAAGTAAAACTGACTTTTGCTTTTCCTCCTTTTCCCTGGTTTTGTTCCTTGCTTTGTGAAGTGATTTACTCCTGCATCTGTGGGACATAGTGGTGATTCTAGGAGATACTGCCAAACTAGTCAGAATTTAGTCAGTCATCTACCAAAAATGAAGGTCCCGTTTATTAGTTTCAGACTGAAATAATGTACAGGGACTACTGACAGTGTTTCACTCGGATTGCTACTTACATATGTCAAGCCATAAAATATAAAAGCAGAAGAAAAAAAGTTCAGCCACGTAATTATACCATATCCATCAACATCAACCCTGTCAGCTCAAGGTTGTCTTTCCTACACTTCGTTGCACTGCTCTGCTTGATTGTAAATCTTTCAGCTGATGAGGTTAGCGTCTTATTTGTGAAATGCTTCCTTTCACCATGGGACATGTGGAGTTTTTCTGGTGGTATTTATTTTTCTGTTGACTTGAAGCTTTTGAAAATGTGAAGCAGACCCCAGTTTCCATTGGAAAGGCTGACTAAACTCATAGAACTTGGTGGCTGAGGTCCCAGTCCATTTCTGCCTCTTTAGTAGGAGCCTAGCTGCCACCATAACTCTGAATACAAAGTCAATTTTATAAAAAACTAAATTAATTTTCAGAATAACTGTAGCAAGTGAGTAGCTCTGTCCTTCAGCTTACCTAAATAACGAACATAATGTAAATTCAGGAATTCACATATGCATCCATACTGCCCATATACATCCATGTGCAAAGAGTTGCATACATGATCACATTCCTACTATATCTGTGGATTCATTTGTATGTAGGTGTGAGCACAAAAAAACACTTCACATGGTCATGTGGATGCACATTTGTGCACAAGTGCACACAGAGGTGCGTGGGATTGCCGATGATTTGACGACAACATGGATGTCCAAGTGTGCCCATTTTGAAAGCTGGGAAGATCATTTCTTGTCCCAAATCCACTGCAAAACACACAACCCTTATTAAATGTTTGTGCTAGCTAGATTAGGTGCCTTTATAAATTGCATCGCTAAAACAGCCTGGATTTGACAACCTGTTAAAGTGTTGTTGCAAAATTCTTGGCCAGTGTGCCTGGCTTTCGTTCATACAGATGCTGAACCCTGACCTCAGTCATGGCCAGTTTGTCACTGGAAATCATACGTAAGAGAAGGCTAGCCAGTAGAAGTTTTCTCTTCCTGTAATGTTGCACACACACACATACATGTGTATGATATCTATATAAAACTATTAGATTTATTATACAGTGGCAAGTGTTGCCTGGAAACTGGTTGCTGTGCAAGTTAAATTCTGAAGAGTAGGAGGTGTGTAATTAGCTTTAAATATCTTCCATGGTTAGTAATTACCCTCAGAAATCAGTGACACAAGGGGATGTGTTCATGGAAGGCAAACTTTAAAAGGTCTGTTGATTAGCAAATGGTATCCTTAGTTCCAGGCATGAAGGTGAGATGCTGAGGTTCCTTAAGTTTTGTTTTTCTGTTCAGAGTTAGCCCTTATATCGGGAGCAGTGTTGGAAACGTTCCATGGATTTTATTTGACCTCATGTCTCCAAGGACTTAATCCAAAGGTCCATGGTATATAGTGGGTATCTTTTCATTGACTATCCTGAGGCTGGACAAGGTCCCACTGCAGGCCACAAGCATTAAATACAAGAATAATAATTATTTTGTAGGAATAGGGCTAAAAAACCTCTCAGGATAGCTGTGATGAATGTCTTAATCAGATTAAGACATAGCTCGAAGAGGTTTATTGACCCCTAAATGTTGCAAATTGGCTTAGGACTAACTTTATTCCTACAGCTAAAGGAAGGATGATTGCAAATGTCAGCTCATGAGAATGAGAGAATATTTCTCAGGGTGAACTTTAAAATTATTCTCTACCACTCTTGAACAATAAATCAAGAGTAGAGCCTCTCTTGACAGAGATTTGCAATAGCCTAAGGATCTCTGTCTGAAAAGAACTTTTGCTTTACCAATTTTTCAAGTCGCTACTGGCGCCGATGGAATCGATTCTGCAGAAGAAAGTGCCGCGCCGCTGTCAAGTCCAATGTTTTCTACTGGTTGGTGATCTTCCTTGTGTTTCTCAACACCCTTACCATTGCTTCTGAACACTACAACCAGCCAGACTGGCTCACAGAGGTCCAAGGTGAGGAGAGGCTGGTGACTCTGTTTATTGTGGTCAGTGTCAAAAAAGGGAGCTGTGGGAAGAGCTGATGCATTAGACCACACAATGTTAAAGGAGCATACACAGGTCCACATAGTCCTCTCTGTGGAGGATCTTTAATAATCCTACAAAATATCTCCCTACAGTGGGAGAGGTTTCAGGGAAGATGCAAGTTCCTCATTTCCAGCCAAAGCAGTGTTTCACTGTGAAAGGTGGGGGTGAAATTGGGAGCTTATGCTAAATATATATTTGCAGCAACTGGATTTCCAATTTATGGATAGCTGCTGTGAGCCACAGGTTCTCCAAGGTTTTCCCTGAAATGGCATTTATGACAAATTCTAGTTACCAGGGAGGTGAGGAAGGAAGAGTGATTTGTAAAGTTCTGTCCACAGAACAGTTGAATCCTAACTGGAGGTGAGAGCAGCTGAAAGGCTTAATTAAGCAACAGTAGGTAGCACAGCAGCTCTTCTGTTCCCACTCTTATCTGCAGATGACAAGTGTGATGGGAGGTTGTGCACAGGAAGGCAAGTCCCTGTGCTGGAGGTTGTGTAATACATTGCAGCTGTTTGTACAATACAGAGGAGCTGCTGTAAGCATCTTCGTAAAACATTTCTGCAAATGAGATGCCCACGCTTTTGAAGTCCATTCTTTGACCCAGGCTTATATGAAGTTAACCTTTCAGACTGATCCGAGAAGGGGTTTCTTAAAGGCAAGGGCTGATGGTTAGCTGTGACGATCTTTTGACTAAGTTTCATTAATCTGTTTCTGTTTGTTTTTCATGAGACACTGCCAATAAGGTGCTGCTAGCTCTTTTCACGGCAGAGATGCTGCTGAAGATGTACAGCCTTGGTCTCCAGGCCTATTTTGTGTCCCTCTTCAACCGCTTTGACTGTTTCATTGTGTGTGGAGGAATCCTGGAAACGATTCTGGTTGAGACAAAGATCATGTCACCACTGGGCATTTCGGTGTTGAGATGTGTTCGACTCCTAAGAATATTTAAAATCACAAGGTACTTCTGTGCTTCTTTGGGCATGAAGGAGGGCTACTGCTCAATGCACAATGTGTATGGGTACAAGTCACTCACATTCCTGTGTTTTCACTTTTTCTACCACTAGTTGGGTAGTAAGAGTGCTAGTCCTCATTTAAATCCTCAGCTTCTGAAGTCTTTGACAGCATGGGGAGGGCTGTACAGACAGGGTGTCCCTGATGTGAGTGGTAAGGATTGTTGAGCAGTGTAAACAAAACAGCAGATAGCCTTGTGACCTTTTCTGTTCCTTTATGGTGACAGAGAGGAGCCTGACAGACTGCTTTCAGCCAAAACATTTGATGGAGGAGCCCATGCCAGGTCCAGTAGACTCAACGGTGGCCTGAGTGGGAGATAGTGTCAACACCAATAACTATAGGCAAAGGATGTTGCCACCCCTTCTCCTGCACAGGAGTCCAGCATGAAGCAGCAGCTTTATGAAGAAATCAGACTTTTCCAGACTCCAGTCTCCTCTCTTTTTCCTTTTCCTTCTTTCTCCTCTCCTTCTGCATAAAGGCACAGTGGTGTCTGGTAAACAGTTGCTGCTTCCTGCGGTCAGGTACCTCCAAAACACCAGCTTGGTTTGTCAGGAGTTTTTCAGCTTGAGGGGAGGTTGTAGGAGAGATCAGCTCCCAGCTTACCCAGATGGGAGCTCTTGGAACAAACCTGTCCAAGTGCTCACCCAAAGCAGCACAAATGAAAGTCCCTAGAGTTGCTATAAACTCCGCCAAAGGAAATTTATGTCAAATATGAGATAAAAAACACAGCACATGAGAAAAACAAGACCAAAACTGGAAGACAGTCAAGATGGCAGAGCTGTGAGGCAGCAAAAACAACAGACTTAGACTTGTGCATCATATGAGATTTACCCTTAAAGCTTCTGAGCCTCAGCTCTCTGGTGGGGTGGGTGGTTTTCAAGATCAGATGGCAGAGACAGAAAATCAGTTTACAGTCTCAGAGAAAGAGGCCAAAGCAAACCTACAACTTCTAAAAAAGAAAAAAAGGTGGTCTGTTTAGATGTGTGGTAATAAAAGAGGGAAAAATGTTTAAGGTAACAAGAGTTTGCAACCAGAAAGGCATCTTTGCACTTTCAGAAATGGTGGGGGTCTCTGGTCTGGTGACTGTTTTTCCTGGATCTTTGGGTCTGAAAGCTATCATCACTGACTCCCAGGCCTGATTTCTTAGGAAACCAGTAGCTGTTTCAGGCACTGGGTAATGAGATACACCCAGGGCAACATACCAATACCTAGAAAATCATAAGCTTCAACATAGCATCCTGGAGAGGTCATTGCTTTTTCAAGACATTTCTCCACTCTTACATAAAATATATAATCTAGCTAAGAGAATATTCTCATAGAAAGGCAAATGCTGAGAGAATATCATTAATACTTTAGGAAGCATGAGCTACTGGAGTACTCAAATATTCCTAAAGCTCCTGGCAGACATGTAATGCTGGAACCAACCAGCAGTAGGACTAGTTATATTTACCTTCATTCTGCAGCAGAACTAAAATACAGTTTTGCATGGAAGGAAATGTTACCTGGAATACATCTGCTGAAATTTGTACAGGAGATCTCTGTGTAAAGCACAGACCTGAGGAATAATTCATAATGAATAATGTATTAATCAGATTTTACCTTCTTTCCTGTTGCTAAAATATTGGTAAGTAGGTTGCAGTAGTCTCAGATTTATCTGTGTTTTTCAATTATTCATAATTTTCTTCATGATTTTTCCTCTCTGAAGGTGAAATTCACCCTCGTGTGCAAGGCCCTAGCACAGGCCTCCAAAGCAGTATTTTAGGCCCACTGATGTCTTGCTGCAGGAAAGAATATTCTGGCACTAAAGCAAAACTTTTACGTGTAATGTTCTCCAGTAAGATACAAATTTTTTCATTATTCACTCAGCTCTAAATACATTTATGATTTGTTGGCGACATTTTCAATACTGGTGGAATACGCCACCTGAGTGCGATGATAATACGCGAAGATACAATCCTAGAAAGCTGGGAAGGGTAGGAGGGATGAGAGTGTAATATTTTGTGTCAAATATATATTCGTGAGCGGGGACCTACGGTGGAGATGGAAATAGCGATAATCAAGGGCATTAAAAAGGCACAAAGCAGGAAAATTATTCTGGTGAGAGTATAGCGGTAGGTAGCCTAATCCTTTTATATTTGTATGGATTTTCCATGGTAAACACCAAGCACAAACAAGAATTTTCTGGGTGCATCAAGATGATACACTTCTAGGAGAAACACAAATACAGCTCCCTAATATAATAGACACAAATGAAGACACCATCAGATGATGAACAATCTGTCATTTTAGAAACCACATTTAGAATTTTAAGACCAAACATTTCTTCCAAAATTATAAACCCTTTTCAGAATGATGTAGTCTTGTACATTAGACAAGCAGACAATATAATGTTTTATTCTCCCTAATTTTTACAGGGCTGTGCAGAAAATCTCCCTTTGCTGTGAGAAGACAAATTATTTTCTCTTTAAAAGTAGCCCTTTACTGCTATATAAATCCCTATATTTAGTCCTTTATGCTTAAAAAATAAATTTATTTGCAACAGCATACTGAAATTTGATGTCTTATACCCAATCCTGCCACGAGATATGTCACTGTTAACTGTAGAGAGGAGAGAGAGGACACCTTTTTTTTTTTGCACCTACTTTCAAAGTGTTTTTATATTGGTAGAACAGTGTGGGAAGCTTTCCTACAATGAGACTGCCAGCTGTTGCTACTGTTTCAAGTTCTGCAGCTGTGATTGCCAGTATCATAAAGACGTAGTGGAAGGCAATAGAGAGCAGAGGGAAGAGAACCAAAGAACACATCAAGTCCTAATCCATTTCTGCAACTGATTTTTGTGTGAGATGTCCAACAAACCATTTAACTTCTCTGCATTATTCCTCCATTTTGAAACAGGGATCATAATCACGTTCTGCTCACTGGGGTTTTGCAGTGCCTCATTCACTGACATCCTCAGGGGTCTGAGATCTGCAGGTGGGAGATGTTAAGAAGCACATTCATTTCCCTATAAGTCTGAGGCAGTAGTAGTGCTTTCTCTCATACCTCCCATTATATGCTGCCTAGTCCAAAACCTCTGATTCCATCCAGCAGTGCCATGAGATTTATTCTAATTGATTTTTCTTTGTAGTATATTAACCAAAGAGGACCAAGTAGTGAGAGACTTTTTCGTTGTCTGGGCTTCAACCATTCCTGACTTAAAAGCCTTGTATTTCATTGAGTAAGCCCAGATCTCATTTTGAGAGGGTGCTCATGTTAGTTCTGCAACAGCCTAATGTGACAGATGGTAACCTCAGGTCAGGCTTCCAGGACACTAAGATAAGACAATTGTTATTTTCACAGCCTAATCAAGTCAAGCCTTCCTTATCCTCTCCTTTTTCCTTTTTCTCTTCCCTCCCTCCCCCCACTGCTTTGTTTACTTTTCTAATGGTGCTGTATTTCTAGGTAGCACTCAGTACACAGATAAAACAGCACTAATCTTATCACCGGGTCATCTCAGTTGATTGCTGTAAGTGTGATAGTTAAAAAAGAAACTGAATCTCAGGTATTGAGCTATTTGTAAGAAATGAAGAGCTGATAAAAAAAGTCTGCATGGTTGTGCTCTGAGATAGCAAGGCATTAAGCTTAAAGCCAGTCCCTGAGACTATTCAGATAGGTAACAGTTCTACTGTGTGCCTCCTAAGGGCACTGCTAGAAAGACCTAGAAAATGTGTGTCCTGGCTGACATTGGAGGGCTTGGAGAGATATTCCGGACCCCATTAATTTCTGGTTTAAGGATGCTGAAGTTAGTCAAGTTTCATCAGAAATGAATTTCTGCCTTTTCCTGTGTCACGTTCCCTTCCTCCCAATGTGTGAAAGTATGGGAGCTGTAACCACAAGCGCAAGTACAGCAAGCTGTTAGCTTGCACATTCAGTGCAGACATTTGGTGGCACTGAGCCCATGGCTTCCATGCCCTTACCTTTGCTCTGTAGTTTTTCATTGCTCATCTCTTTAATTGCAGTTAAACTTTAAAGCATTCTAGTTTTCTCTGAAGTGCTGAAGCTGGGCTGGAGGGAAAACATCACAGTTCTCTTTGAACCTCAGCCCTTGGAGATGAACCGGTTGCTGAACTTCAGAGGACATGGCAGTGTCCCTCTGCAGATCCGATTGCCAACGTTCATAAAGTGATTGGACTGCTCAAACATTCCTGTCTTCTATGGGACAAGGAAAGTCTTCTTTTTACACTGACATTTTAAAAACATTGATTTAACTGAGATTTTAAGAACTTTTGTCCCTAATGACTACACTTCCTTCAGAACAGGTTTGTATGTTGAAGAATCAGGCTTCCTCAAAGGACCGAGAGCACTAGACCTGCCTGCCGTCTTTCTCAAGCAGAACATTTGTCTCTGAGGAAAGTGTGGCTAGAAATTAAGAGTACTCGCAGGAAAGAAAGATTCAACATTATGGGCTATGGGAGAAGGGAGTGGAGGACATTGGCCATGGTGGAATCTCAAAGCATGGTGGTAGGCCACAAGAGATGGTTCTAGAAGGAAGACTTAGAGATCACAGGCAAATACTACTGGCTTGCTGACCTGTGAAAGATGTTGAAGCTTGCTAATAATGTGCATTCAAAATGAGGAGATTGGAAGACGGCAGCTAATCTTCAGCCCAGTCTGAAAGCTCTGTCAGACTCAAAGCTGCGTAAAAGAGAAGTGGTCATGACCAGCTAAGCAGTAGACTAGGACTGATTGAGTACATGCAAGACTGAAGTGGAAGTTGCTTCATGGGTGATGCAATGGCATTCTTTAGCAATTTTTTCTAAAGCTGTTTTCCAACACATGGTGACTCTGCAGACTGTCAAAGAATGCAAGCAAACTGACATACTGCAGCAGAGCATGCTGCTGGCATCACTTTGAACCCCAAAGTGGGATCACAAGGGCAGGAAGATCCTTTCTCTGTATCATATGTCTGATCTGGGCACAAGCCTGGACTCACTGGGAGAGCAGGTCTTAGCCATTCTCTCTCTCGAGTGAAGCCTTTCCAAAATGTTCTGCAGCCTGTTTGAGGAAGTATAGTGAGTTTGATACCCAAAAAAGCAGCGACAGCGTGCTCTTCCAAGAGCAAAAGAAACTCTGGACTTTATGGATGTAGATCTGGAGTCTCTTTTAGGGTCCATGTAAAAGGACCTTTAATATCTTTCTCATTCCTCTCAATCCCAGAAAGCTTAACAACCTCTATCTGTGAGAGAGCCCAAGCACATACTCACACACACCAGATTTTGGACAAGTTTGTGTTTGCATCCAAACTGTTTCCTCATCTACTCTTGCTAGTTATTACAGGCCATTCTCTGGAGTGAGGTTTTCTGGCTGCCATAACATCTGTGACTGTTGTAATGAGGTTGGTTAACATGTAACTCACTGAAGCAGCAAGAACTAATCACCACATATTGATGTAAGATTTACAGAGCCTTAGATGGAGAGTGCTGCAATAATCTTCTGAGAATGCGCATGGGGCGGGGGGTGGATGGAATTGTGTGTAGTCTTTACACTTGTGGTAGTAAAATTACTCGTTAGCTGCAGTAGGTCTCATTATCTTAGGGAAACACATCAATGATTCCTGCTTAACAGGGTGTTTAGGAAATGTCTGCTTATATGCAGAAGGCAGCCTGAACCAATATCCTGTGCAGTCCATGAGCACCTGTCTCGGGTTGAAGGAATTTTAATTGCCTCTATTTTCTCTCCCAGATACTGGAACTCCCTGAGTAACCTTGTGGCTTCACTCCTGAATTCAGTCCGTTCCATTGCCTCACTGTTGCTGCTTCTCTTCCTCTTCATTATCATCTTCTCACTCTTGGGGATGCAGCTCTTTGGGGGCAAGTTTAACTTTGATGAGATGCAGACCAGGAGAAGTACATTTGACAACTTCCCCCAGTCCCTCCTCACTGTGTTCCAGGTAAGGGCAAACGTGGTCCCAGTGGGGCCAACATACTGGGTTTACATGGGACGAGACAGAGAGCGGGTCCTGCAGCCTTCGCCTGCAGCCTGGCAGTCCCTGAGACTGGACATCAGGCTAACAGCTCCAGGAGCAAGGTGCCTCGCTGTGCTGCCAGCACAGGGGTATTCCCTCCCAAAGTTGGTTACCAAAGCTAAGGGCCTTGTGTGTAGCAAGGCCGCCAGGTCTTAGCAGGGTAAGACAAGAGAATGGCCGTTGCCATGTCCCGGGACAGCACCTGCATGCCAAAGTCCAACCCTACAGCTGTTGTCCCCCCTCCCACATTACTGGGGAACACATATCTGCACCAGAGAAGTAATCAAATGGCCTTTAAGCTCACTGCAGTTTTGGGGCTGATCAACCGAGAGCACCAGGCTCATGATTTCACACGCAAGGTGAAGGGAAGTGGCAGGGAGGGCTATGCTGAGGGGTGCCTTCAGTGCTGTAGGTTGTGCAGCCGGTCTGAAACAGCAGATGCATGGGAAAGAAATGACTGGGAGAGGTGGGGAGACTTGAACAGAGTTTTCTGGGAGAATCGTTTGGCTTCAGCTATCATCTTCAAGGGGACATCTGGGGATTTTTTATACTTTGAGCACAGGCCCTCTTTACATTCTCCTTGTTCTGTATTTTTTTAATTTTCTAGATGAACACAGACAGAGTCTCCAACCATCCTGGAAGAGGGGGTGTTCTCTAAGATAGTAGATATTTTTGTGTTAATGGGGTTTTCAAATTCTCTCTGTGGTCTAACACTGTATCCCTTATTGGTGGGAATGTGTCATTTAGATCCTGACTGGGGAGGACTGGAATTCGGTGATGTATGATGGGATCATGGCTTATGGCGGCCCCTCTTTTCCAGGAATGTTGGTCTGTATTTACTTCATCATCCTCTTCATCTGTGGAAACTGTATCCTTTGATGCTACTCTTTTCTCCAAGCGGTGCTGAATTTGAAGCCACCCTTTACTACTTTGTTATGTCAGAAAACAATTATTTTCATACCTTACTTTTTTACCTTTTCCCTAGGTCTGAATTTTGGCTTTGCACTACAAAAAGTTAATTTTAGGTAATGTTAAGGCATATAAAAAGTTGTAAGAGCCAGCTACATGCCGGTTCTACATGCTAGCTTTTATTTAGTATCTTTACATGTTTAGTGTTTTTATTTTTCATTCCCCTTAATTCTCTCACAGGTTGCTCTTTCCTGCCTTCTCCAGAAACTAATCTCTGTGTGTACTTACTGGACTTACTGCATATTTTTGCTTTAATTGCCTTTTCGGTAGTATATTACATGTGCATTCATCCGAGCCTTATGTGGAATGAAAATATGTATAATCTACAATATGCTATATATAAATTCTGTAATAGGAGTAACATATGTTTGACATAATTGATTTATGTAAGAACATGTATTAATTCATGTATAAACTGACAGGAACCTTGTTCCATTTCAGTTACTGCAGTATGTCTGTTCTTCAAACAGAAAATTGTGTGCTCTGTTATCTTCCAGACTCTGTTGGTGTTAAGTAATTTCGGTTCTCTCTGGCTTCAGGGTGAAGTGAGGGCACTGTACCCATCCCAAGAGGTACAAAGCACATTGCATGATTAGTCTGTGAGTGTCTTTTCACAGGAATTTGCATATAACATAGAGCTATGGTTCTGTTCCAAATTTGTTCGTGTTTCGTTTCTGCTTCCCTACTAAATGGCCTTCCTGTGTTAAAGGTGACATTTCTTTTTATACTGATTCTTCTATAAAGCTACCTGGTAGTCTCAGCCCAACTCTTCTGGCCTTTCCTCATAATTCAGATCTCTCAAACCCTGTTATTTGACATTTCAGTTGACCCAAATGCCCTCTCTTCAAAGTAAGATGATGCAATTCCACTTATCTGAAGGTCGAGGTAGGCAATCTGCCTGACAGCTTAAAAAAGCTACAATTTGGATTGCCTTGTGACCTGCAGAGGACAATGTGAGCCAGCGCTACATGCTGGCTGACCTTGGAGCCTAGGGAGGAGGGTGGCTGTATTTTCAGACTGAGCCTTGAACTGGGGTTTACTTAAAAGTTATCATGGCATAATAAGATTTCTCAAGAAATTTATAAAAGACTCTGACGTTCATATTTGTAACGTGAGACCTGAGCACTGATTGGCAAGACAAGAAAACAGTGGTGATTCCTTGCCCTTCAGCTACACGGGGATGACTGGCCATGCAAGGACTCTCTGCTAGGAGATGGCAGAGTTGTCAGCTCAACCCTTTAATGCCCAGACTAAATGAATTTCTTTCTGGTTGCCTCAGAAACACTAATGAGCATGCTGTGTTTGCTGTCCATAAAATCCACTCTTGTCTGTGGGAATACCTGTTATGAGGTTGTTCAAGTCAAGTACATAGGCCACAAAAACTGGAAAGCCCAGGTGCCTTCTGGTATGAGGCTCTTGAATACAACAGTGCTTTATTAAAAGCGACCTAAGCTGTCAAAGATGCAAAGCATTCAGCACTGCCCTTATCTTCAGTGGAATTTGTTGCACAAGAGTAAGACTCTTTTGGGAAATTGGAAACTAAAATGTAAGGACCAGACTTAGATGTTTTGTATTAGTCATTCTGTTGTGAAGCTTTGGAAACCCCACACAGTGTGTTAGCAGTTTGAATCAAAGGTGTAGGTTTGTGCATGCTGGATATTCACATACTGAACATTTGTGTGAAATAGAAGTTTGGAAAATCCAAGAGATCTGATGAGAGGTTGCTAAAAATTTTCTATTAAGAAACCTTTGGTATAATTCTGTTCTGCAGTTTCCAAAGCCTGTTCCAACCTTGCTGATGCTGAGAGTTTGACATCTGCACAGAAAGAGGAAGAAGAGGAAAAGGAAAGGAAGAAGCTAGCTAGGTAAATCCATTTGCATACTCCTATCTACACTCATATGCATGTGTTCCTGTGTGCAATTACACACACATTATGCACATATATGTGTGCAGATAAGTAGGTGTGTATATGCAGTGCATATGGGTAACTTCTTTGTGGGTGTATATATATATTATTGATTTAATTATATGTGGAAATATATATAAATTTTTATGTAAAATAATTCAAACAAAAAAACAAGAGGGTGTCACGAGCTGGGGGGTCCCCACAGTTGCGATGATGTGAGCAGAGGAAAGGAAGTCTGTGTGACTAATGAGCTTTCAGGGCATCAGCAGAGAAGGAGTATGAAATGGTGTAGTGTCACAATCCCATTTGAAACTCCCTGTTACCTCCTGATTGCTTTGGACCGCAAGGCATATTTTCAGACTGTCATTCACAGGACAAGATTCAACAGCTTCCTTCTCTTTTGATGCCACATGCTGTTCTTCTCTTGCCGGTTCTTTTAGTGTTTCTGCAGACTCTGAGAAGGCAAGAGCTTAAGTAGAGCTTCTCTGTCCCAGCTGCCAACAATGGGGAAGCCTCTCCTTACTGTTTATTTCTAATCACTATCTTCCAGGCTACTTGGAAGGACTCTCTTGTGCAGATCTTTCCACTTTGTCCTGCATGCTAGTCAGCAGGTTACCCTGGCTCTGGGAGTCCAGTCAGGGGCAAAACGTTGTAGGCAACCTAGTGGAAGTCCACAAGATATGGGTTGAAAATGGTTCATGCCTTTGTCATTGGGTGCACAAAGAGATGTCTAGTGAATACGTGTGTGTGCAAACACACAGGCATGTATTTCCTCTCCATGCGCATGCACACCCACCCACACACACACACAAACACGTGTCATTGAGAAAACCGTAAAATAAAATGATGCTGTGTAGAATTAGAGCAGAGTGTCTGCCTTTGCCTGCAGATGAGGACAAGGTGGAGCCGCTGGTATGTAAGCTGAACTAAGAATGGAGGTGCTAGCCAGCTGATGGTTCTCATGGTGTGTGCTGTAGTACACAAAGTTGCTGACAGGGAAACAGTTTTTCAGCTTTGTAACTCTTTGCTTTTTATATTGTAAAATTGTTAGAACTGCTAGTCCCGAAAAGAAACAGGAGATAGAAAAAACAGCTGTGGAGGAGGAGACAAAGGAGGAGAAAATTGAGCTGAAATCAATCACTGCTGATGGAGAATCTCCACCTGCTACCAAGGTAAGGTCTGCTGCCAGCCGGCACACTCTATGCAGTGATGGCATGAACAGCTTGTGTTTCTGAGGGAATGAAAACCCTCTGCCTTGTCTGATAAAGGCTTTGCTGCTTCTCCTTCCACTTCTGTCAGATCAACGTGGATGATTATCAGCCCAATGAAAATGAAGAAAAGAGCCCATATCCCACAACAGAAGCACCAGGTATATATCTTCTTCCTCTTACCCCTGATTCAACAAAGAGAAGTTCCAGTTGCTAATGCACATACAGCCAAATTGTGGTAGCAGGTATGCTGAACATGTAATGCTTTCATGACGGGACAGGATGATGTGCTTGCGTGTGCTGGCATGGGTGTGGACTTGTGCTTTGCAGTCCTTATAGTGATTAGTCATGTTTTAGTTGGTTGTCTGTAAAGCCTGTATTTGGAAACAGAGAACCAAATCAAATAATATAAAAATCTCCATACGAAAAATATGACTTTGTTTTCGGTCTATTTTTTCTTTATTCAGTGGTCAGGGGAGACTCACAACAGATACTCGTGAAAGGCAAAGTGCTGAATGCCTTTTTGCACTTTTTTCTAATAAAAAAAGACAGTGTGACTTATTAAAATAATTTTAAAGGCATAAGATCTCAGCCTCGGATTGGTAAAATCAAGCTAGAGCATTAGTTAGGCTAGTTTTCAAGTCAGTTGGACCTAATTAACTTAATCCTCAGATACTTAAAAGATTGGTTGAAGAAATCTCAGAGCTTTGAGCTGTTTTTCTTCAAGAGCTCCTGAATGCGGGGTGGAGTTGGAGCAGAATTATAAGATAGTCAGTTCAACTTCCATTCTTGGAAAAGTGCTGGAACGAGTGATTAAACAAACTATATGACTGCAAGATAAGGAGGTGACTAGCAGCCAACATAGATTTGCCAAGAACAAATCACGTCAAACCACCCTGATTTTCTTCTGAAAGGGGTGAAGACGACTTGTAGACAGGAGAAAAGAAGTAGATGTCATATTCTTTAGCTTTGCTAAGGCTTCTGACTATCTCTTATAACATTCTCATAAGCTGGCTAGGAAAGCATGATCTAGATGATTGGTAGAGAAGTTGGTCAGACCTTTTATGTGGAGAGTAGTGATCACCCAAGTGAGATTCTGCAACCCAAGGGCCTGTCCCGAGTTCAGTTCATTGTTAATGACCTGAATGGTGGAAGAGGAAATATGCTTATTACATTTGCAGATTGCATGAAGTTAGGAAGGACAAGGGAGCATGCTGGAGGGCAGCATTAGAGTTCAAAGAGCTCTTGAGGAACTGGATAAATGGTCTAAATAAAATTGAAAGTGCCAGGCTCTACACGTAGGCAGAAATAAACAACTCACAAATAAAGGCTCTTAGGTGACAGCTATTTGGGTAACAGTTCCTTGAGGAAAGAATCTGAATCTTGTGATCACAAGGCCAGCAGGTGCCAACAACATTCTGTTGTCTTTCAAAAGGTAGTGATGTCTTTCAAAAGTAGTGAGATTTATAAACAATGAAACCATGACACTTTAGTCCAGGTATGGGTTTCTTCTAATAGGTAACCAGAAAATAGAAAAGCTAACCAGAGCAAAGAAATTGTTTTATTCTGTTCACCATTGATAAGATCTCAGCTGGGGTATTGTATCTCGTTTTATAGATCATTGTATGATCATCGTTGTATGACACCATTTCTAAAGATTTCCCTAAATTGCTTATCATTTCTTTGTAAAGAGTGACGTTACTTCTTCTCTTTTGTAACCCTCTGAAAATCTTATCGTTTTGCTGAAAATGATCTTTAACAGCTCACACAACTACCTGACAACTTCTTTCAGAGTTCATGGAAGTCAACCATAAGGCTCAGATGCAGTAAAATTTTGCAAATCCCTTATTAGATCAGGTTTACCTTAGTCACCTATTCTGTTCTGCAGTGCAAAGCTTAGAAACACCAAGGCCCTCTCACAGCTGATGTGGCACATCACATCTGCCTTGTGTAGTCAGTTTTGGAGAACAAGGCTCCAAGGCTTTCCCCAGCACTAGCAAGCAAGAGTTTCCCAATCCCTACATGTACCCATGTCCGGTTCCCTTGTGGCCATCTGACCAGTCCTGAATCCTTCTGCTGCTTACTGATTGGTCCAGCTGTGGTACAGGAGGTGCTGTGCAGCCAGATGTGGCCCACCTGGAAATGCACCTTTTCTTGCCCACTTGCACGTGGATCCATTTCAGCTGTGCTTTGAGTGAAGCATCCTATTGCTGCTTAGATACAGTCAGCTGGTTCTACCTATTTTCTGTTTATGATTTAAGCTGTTAATACCTGTGACCTTTCCATTGGCTGTGTACTATTCCTTCCTGTGAAAATATCCTTCACCCTAACCCAGTGTTCAGAAACAAGTTGAAATGGTCACTTTATTTGCATTCCCTTTATTCTTTCACCCTGCCTCGTTCAGTCCCCTATTTGTTTACGTGGCCTCAACCAGTTTTCTTGATAACCTCTTCCGACTCCACTTGCTACAGAGTGTTGCTCTTAGCCCCCAGAATACTCTGTCTACTTGCAGCTCATTAGATCATCTATCCTCTGTGTTGGAGGGAGAGACTAGTTCTTCCAGAGATCTGTGTACACTAGGAGGATTATTATGATAATATGTTTATCATAGGAATACAGGGAGCTAGTCTTGCAGTCTAGTACAGAAACAGACAAAGAATTCAGAATGTCAGATGAAGGTAGAAGCTTGGGATGATTCATGGGAGCTTGGAGCAAAGCAGTGTCCTTACACAGGAGTTCTGGTTTTTGTACAGGAAAAAAAAAAAAAAAAGATCCTCATAATTGAGTTTCTTAGTGATGCTGCACTGTAGCCTGTGTGTGCTTATGGCTTCACAACCAAAGGACATCACTATTATAATAAAACATAATTCAAAGCAACAGTCCTAGATTTGAATATCCTTGAACTTTAGGCAAGTTCAAACCTAGATCTGAACTTGGCAGCTCTGAGTCATGTTTCTTTACGATTTCATGGCAAGATTGACTAGAAGTGTCACTTTTTAAACACAAATGTTCCTTAGGTATAGAAAACAGTTGAAGAACAAGTGTTGAATTGCAGCCGATGTGCTGCCCAGTCCATCTGTGAATACCATGTCGACCTTTGCTTCTGTGAATGCTGGCAACTGTGCAACATACTGTTTTGGTATGCAGGTAGATAGCTTAGGTAGTGACCTGAGCTGAGGCTGTAATCATGTTATTCATTGCATATTTGGGCCTCAGTGCTTCCTTTCTTCTGTGCCCTAGACCCTACTTTAAATGAAAAATGTTTAGAACGTTAATCTTTATCTATGGCTGAGGAACAGAACGTGTTTTCCAGTCTGAAGGTATGTGGTTGCCAGAATCATTAATATATTTCTTATTGTATGGCAGACACAAGAAAAACAGGAGAGGAACAGTGTTCTTCAGGGTCTTCATGAGGCTGATCCTTCTGCTAAGAGTCCATTTTCCTGCCGCAGTGTTCCATGCCCATTTGAAAGTGTTTTTATAAGCATTCCTCTGTGTAAAAGAAAAAGAATGAGCTAATAGAGGAGGCACAGAACAGAGACTCGGAATACTAGTCTTTTTAAGTAAGAGCTCTCAAATGTCCTGTGTGATCATGGGCATTGGTATTCTGGGCTGTTAAAGAAGAAAAAGAGTTTGCTTACCTCACTCGTTGTCAGCCCACTTGGAAATCTGTAGATAAAAGGTGCAAGTGCAAAGTATTGTGATATTATGTAAATATGAGCAGTAACATTAAAGCCTATTTTACAAGTACTGTGCATAAAAGTACTTCTGAAAGAATGTTTCTTCAACTAATACAGCCTGTAGCAATAGTATTATAAAGTATATTGCAACATAAAATTTAGCCGCCTTAAAAAGTACAAACTCTATGTACCAGCTCGAATACTTATCCAAAAATTCATCAAATGAATTTGAGCTGAACTCTTGCTACTAGAAGAGTAAAGAAAGAATCCTATTTGCATGCAATAATGGTATGCATTTAAAAGACCACTTTTCTCCTGCCTCTGAAATCTAGATCAGGATCTGTGCTGATTCATCTGTTCTTTCTGATGTGTCCATTATCAGATCAAGTACAGTACCTGACCCTAAAGGAACAGGCTCTTCCTGGAATTTATCTCACTTTATGGACTCAAACCTTTTAACTAGAGTTTTCTCCTTTGCATTGGCTGGAAGATGAATCAGTTGCACCTAACCTGTCAGACTCCTTTCTTAAAATATTTTTCCTGTCTTGCTGATGAAGTGAGAGGATTGGGATCTTTAAAATAGCAAAATCCTGTCATGTCATTTACAAAACAGCATTTGACTTCAGCAGATAGAAGCAATCCTCAAAGGTGGAAGGTTCTCTTTCACATACCACTTAGTCTCCATCTCTGCATTTTTTCGCTTGAGGATGTTCACTGATCTGCACCGTGCCTGGAGAACTGCTCCATAGGCACCAGGTTTGAGAATCTCAGCCTTTCAATCTTCCCCCCCATTTAATTATGAAAGGAGACAATTTTAAGAATTTCTGACTGGTGTAAGTCAAAGTGACTGTGCTCCATGTTTGCTCTGGGGCATACAGGTGCTCATCCAGACACAATCCCAGATGTGGCAGTGGCTCCATGGAGAGTCTTACAAAGAGAAGAACAGATCTTGACGAACTGGAGGAATGGTCTAAAGAAAATAAGATACAGTTCAATAAGGATGAGGTCAAAGTGCCACTCTTGGGAATAGTCAGTAGCACAGTGCAGAGGGGGGAGTGACAGACTAGGCAGCCATTCTGTGGTAAATAAACTCTCACGAAGGACATTTAAAGAGGAAGACAGTCTCCACTGCACCAGTAGAACCTTAACTGCAGGTTAATGCTGCAGATAATCTGAAGGAAAGTAGCAAGAATGATCAGAGACCTAGGGAACGCAGCACCTCAGAAAAGACTGTTGCTGTTTTGCTCTAGGAAACAGAAATCCTTGCAGAAACATCATAATGGTCCTGAAGTATGTAAAAGCTTTCTGCAAGGGGAAGAGAATTGTCTGTTTTCTGTGTCCATGGAAAATAAAAAAACAGACAGACCATAGCAAGAAAGATTCAAGTCAGCCATTAGAAGAATCGCTTTTTGCAGAAGGGACAACGCAGCATCTGAGGTGACTGTTGTGAGGATATTGTGGGTTTACCAGCATTAAGGGTTTTACAGGGAGACTAGATCAATGTCTGCTAGGGTGAGCGCTGGGCAGTGAATGTGGACAAGGAACTTCAAGTGTTCATCATCCTGCTAAAATGAGTCTTAGTTCTTAACTCTAATTGTGACAGAGACAAATGCCCCAGCACTCCAGAACAGGTTGTATTTTGCATTAAAAGACAAAAATGCTTCTTGTAGCAGAGGAAGATGAGGAAGAACCCGAGATGCCCGTCGGCCCTCGTCCTCGCCCGATGTCTGAGCTGCACCTCAAGGAAAAGGCTGTGCCCATGCCTGATGCCAGTGCTTTTTTCATCTTCAGTCCTAACAACAGGTATTCAAGAGATTGCTTAGGTGGAACAAGGAGGCAGAGAGCAGGTGCCCCTTTCATGCTGGGCCCCAAAGGTTATGTGGTGCAGAGCTTGCTTCCAGCAGTTCATACCAGAGATCTCCTTTAAGGGCCCTAGCATGAAATCCTCATGCAAGCACAACTGTAGAGACCCCTCTGACAATATTCAATGGGACTTCATGGCGCCTGCAAGGCTGATTGAAGACAGGAATCATGAAAGCTTTGGAAATAAGGGACTTGGAGGCAAGTCAGTAATTGGGATTCCCCAACGTATTCAGGTCCAAATTGCAAGCAAGACATCATGCAGTCAGTCAGTCGTGAGTTAGAAGCTTCCTGTCCCAATAGCTGCTCAAAATCCACTCCCAGTAGGGAGTTCATGTGTCCTTGCTCATTCCTACACGTCAGGAATGAGCATACAAGAAATGGGAGGAGAAGGATGACAGTCCATAGCTCTGAGGGGTTGCTGAGGAGAATAATTCTTCCCTCACACTTTTCTCTTGGGCTCCTGTAATGTGGCTTCATATTGCCCCGCCTTTCCAACACGGATGTGCGAGACCCGTACTGTGAGGGGAGGGCTGAGCTATGTCACAGGGGAAGGTATCTTTCCAAGAGAGCGGAAACGAGCTCACTGCCCAGTGGTTTGTGCAGTACCATGTATCCCAACATCTCTTTTGGGGACTTGGCCTCCAAACACAGCTCCAAATTAAGGCAGGGCTGTAAAAGCACCTCTGAATTCAGAGCCAATCTTTCCACGTCAGAGCTTCTGCCACTCCTCCTTGGGTATGTGCAGCAGAGAGGGACTGATGATGATTGGGACTCATGGACTCTAATGCCAGCTTTGCCACCCACCCACTGTCACTTGTTGAAGAAGTAATTTAACCTCTGTAATCATCTGTAAAATTGTTATAATAGGAGCTTGGAGGCTTAACAGCCAAAAGTACAGCTAAATAGATTAATGAAGTGCCTCTAGAACTGTGCATAGGACTGTAACGAGGTTTAACTCCTCGTGTCCTGATACTGATGTATGGAATGTGCTGTAATGGTCTACAGTAAGCACGCTACTGTTTGATGGGAGACTGCTACTTCTTTACTTGCTAGTTTCCCATGAAGAGCACCAAACACTCGGTATTAGGGTGATGTTTAGCAGACACCCTGCGTGGCCCGATGTCCTCCCAGAAGCCCTTTGAAAATGCCATCCTGCCCTATAGCTGTTTGGCCAGATCTGTGCCCTGTTAGCAAGATAGATTCCCCACAGCTCCTGCTCAGTGATACTCCAGCCGCGGCTCGGAAAGACATTGGCCAGCCCGAAGCCCATTTCTACTGCTTTCCCTCTAAATGAATGGGGAATGGTTCTGTGAATGAAAGCAAGAGATGTAATTTGGGCTTGGCATGTTTTCAGACTACATCTAAATCACAAAGGGCTCTGTCAGGAGGGAGTGACTGTTCTCCATTCAGACGCACCAAGCGAGAGTCCTGCAGGCAGCCGGTCACTCCATGTGCATCACTGCATGATGTGGAGATCCGAGGCTGCCCAGTGCCCAGCAGGGCCAAGCACAGCTGCCTGGGCCCGTTGTTCTCCCTGTTGCTGGGGCGGGGGGAAGCTGCTCTGCGGAACAATCCTCCAGGCCCAGTCCTGCTGGCAAAAGAGGAGGGGGGAATCTTTCCCAGGTCTTGCTGTTGTCTGAGAGATAAAGTTGTGCCTCTCCTCTCTCTTGCAGGTTTCGTGTCCACTGCCATCGAATTGTTAATGATAACATTTTCACCAACCTGATCCTATTTTTCATCTTGCTCAGCAGCATCTCCCTGGCAGCTGAGGACCCCGTCCGACACCTTTCCTTTAGGAACCAAGTATGCTTCCCACCCTCCTTCCCTCACTGTGTATTAGAAGTGTGGTACAAGCAGATCATGAGTTGAAGCCAGGAAAGGCAGAAAAGACTGCATCAGAGGCTTTGGGAGTGACTCTCTTCCCTGATTTGCGCCTTTTGTAGGCTGTGTGTGAAATCATTGGGTTTTGTAGGGAACATGGGTCAGTGCAGAATTTGGCCTCTAGTTCGTTTCAGAAGCATGTGTAGGGGAAGGAAGGACAGGAGGCTGAAGCAAAATTATTGTTCCCTGGGATTAAGGCATCAGAAATTGTCTGTAGAAACATTGATTGGGATACAGATAATGCTAATTTGGGGGCTTTATGGGTTCTCTTTGGAACATTTGTTCTGCTGCCACATGCTTTCTTTTAAACTAAAAAGCCCAGGGCCTGATCCGATTTTCACTTTATTCACAGTGGTGTAAATCAGGAGTAACATTCTTGAGTTTGACACAGTCACTCTGGGGGAATTTGGTCCCATCAAAGTTTAGAACCATGCTATTGGAATGCAAGCTGCAAAGCTATCATTAAATTTGAGATAATCCTCGGAAAATATGCTGTGCTCCCCTCCTCACCAGCCTGGGGGAAGGAAAGGGAGGCATTCAGCAAGGACATAGATTCTCACCTTCTTTCTTGACCATTCTTACTAGGCTTTTTGAAACGTTCAGTGTTCCCTTACCTTTGCTAGTGGTTGTTTCCATTAATCTGGGGTCACTGCAGAAAGCAGAAGAGTCAGCAGTCATATGAGAGACTTCTGATCTGTACTGTCTGCAATGGCATTTTGGTGCCTTTATACTGGAAGAGCTTGATAGGTTTAAAGAGTGGGACATTGTTTTGTTGTTGTTTAATAATAAAACCTTAACTTAACACTCAGTGTTCTACCTCCTTGAAATATCCTGGCCTGAGCGTGCATTTAAACACATATATGTATGTAGAGAAAGTGTTAATGGAGGTTTATTCCTGAGCTTATCTCAGAGTTGCTTTGCATTTTGTCCTGAAGGAGAGTACTAAATAATAGTCAAACCTGTGCTGCCAGTGACCTACTTGTGCACGGCTGCGTGTGCCCACCATGTATGGATAAATGTATGTCAATATGTATTAGTGCTGCAGCATGACGTCAGCTAGCACAAGGGCTTCTCACATGCCACAGAAGCTGGCGCAGAATCTATAGCAGAGAGGTTTAAATGAGAAAAATAGTCAAAGCTGGTTTTCCTGGATAAAAGAACTGCAGGTTTGTGGCAAAGTGTTGTCTTGCGTGTTTGAAGCCACTGATGTTGCATGAAAATCTGTGTTTAATTTTTGCAGGTACAGATGTTTATAATGTGTCATACAAGGGGACACTGACAAGATGTTTGGGTTGCAAACGCGGTCTGCCTGTGCACTTTGACATTAGAACAGTAAGATTGTGTCCTGCTCTGTGCCCACACAGAGGCCTGGGAGGGAAAGAAAGAAAGCAAGCGGAAAGCAAACTAACTTCACTCTGGGACAGCATAATCGGGCATTAACCTGTGCACAAGGACTCATGCAGACTAATGCTGCTGTTGGCACAAATTGTCCCAGGGTAGGAAGGCAGGAATGGAGAGAACATCCTCCAGCATGGGCTAGCGAAGGGACTTGGACACTGCTTCTGTCCCAGGGCAGGCTGGTGGCTGCGTGTTTGTTGTGTCACACAGGGCTCAGACAGCAAGTTTTTGGAAGTGCCTCCCCAGTCTGATCAAACAGCTTTTAAAGCCCAAGGAAGTCCTAAGACTTTATGGGCTCATAATATTCTCCTGTTTGCACCTTGCCAAGGTATTCATTCATTTTGATATATTGTAAATTCATATTTCAATAATAACAAATATGCCTGCTGATAAATGGTACTGCCTGCACAGGTGGAGCAGTTATCATTTTCTTTAGGCAAGATTTCATCTGTAAGGGACGTCTTTACTAGCTGCAGCTTTGGGGCCAGATTCACCAGTATGCTCTAGCTACTTTGCAGTGCTGCAGTGATGTAAAGCAGCTGCAGGTACACCTTGATCATCCACTTTAATGAAGTTTATGGCTGCTTTATGTTGGTGGAGTCATGCAAAGCAACCTGAGAGTACCCATGAATCTGGCCTGTTGATTATAAAATTATTCGGTTGATGTAATAACCAAATGTCAGGACCTATGAGGCAGCAATGCAAGGGGACATTTCCAGTTATAATGTGTGTAAATTAATATAGGATGCAATTGAGATCTGTCCATCCTTGAAATAGCCCTTTTTTAATTCTCTAAGTTGCAAAAATCTATAGAGCCCAAGACAACCTTGAAGAAGCGAGAACAACTTGGGGTCAAAAATTGAGCAGTAATTTGAAGAATTTTGTTATACAGTAGCTGTAAGTGACATCCAGTGTCTGCAAATTAGTCTAGATTTGGGTCATGCTTAAATAGTGCAATCTGAAACAACCTTGTAGTTTGCAGTAGCTACCCTGCTGCCCATGGCTTACCAAGCTTTAAGAATCTAGCCACCTGTAAATCTGAGTTAGGATATGGGCACTGAGATGCAATAAATGCCTGTGGGATGGGAGAGGACAATTTGTGCTGTATGTTTATTAGTGTCTTAGCAGTAAAGGTTTAAATTTCGCAAATGATCAGTTTTCTACAGCTTCCATATATTGGCCTTCTGGTTTAGAACTTGGTTAATCTAAAACAACAGTAATCCAAGGGCATGATACTTTTCATTTTCACCTTTTGTAGTGTAGGTAACACTAAAATGGCTAGGGATATTTGAATATATTGGAAACAAAGAGAGTTCAAGTCTAGTCCCGTTAGTCAGTGAGAAAGTTCCCATTTGCTTTCGTGGGATGTCAACTGATAGGCAGTGAAAGACATCTCTGTCATTGATGCTGTTACTCTGAAAATCACTTTACACTTCCAGACTTGCTGTTGCCTTCTGTGACACCCTAGGGACACTTTTTGTGGTCTGCTGTGCATGCCGCCAGTATTCCCGTCACCAGGCCTAAGTTAATGGGAATGATGAGTATTTCAGTTTGCCTGTTATCCAGGATGCCAGTAGAAAGACACAAGATTTAAGTTAGGCACCTTTAGCACACGACCAAATTATGGTTGCAATACAAGAGCTGGGATTCTGTTCAATTGGCACAGTCTTTGTTATTCATCCTAATCCAGGGCAAATCAGGATAGAGGGGAAAAAACAGCTAGAGCATGAATTTGCAGTTTGCTTTTCTTCCTTTGAGAGAGGCACAGAACAAGCCTGAGTGGAAGTTAGTAAGAAGAAATCTCATATTTTCCACTGAGAGACCAGGCATCCTGGTATTCTCAGTTTGGAAGTCTATTTGGGAAAACCCTTGAATCGTCTGTTCTGTATTAGATTAAAAAAAAAAAAATCTTACAACAACAATCAAAAAGTTATTTTGCCACTAGAGCTCTCATGGGATTGTGTCTCAGAAAAGTTTTCATGTAATGTGCTGTTTCTCCTCTGTGCCAGGACCTTCACTGCATTCAACACAACGTCGTTAAAAACCATTTCCTATATAGTCCTCCTTCTTCCCTTGTTAAAAGGCATATGTATTTGATTTTGAACTGTGATTTCCCATTCAAGTGATCAGTCACTGATCTACCCTCCCTGCTCCTATTCCTTTTTGTTTTTACAGATTCTCTTTTATTTTGATATAGTTTTTACTGTCATTTTCACCATTGAAATTGCTCTGAAGGTAACGTGCCCATCTTCTCTACCATTACTTGTCCACAAGCTTACTAGTGTTCTGCCACTGTCTGTTGCTAACACACACGCCTGTTTGTTCCTGGGTCACGCTCAGTACCACTAACCCGATTGTGCTTATTTTTCAGATCCTAGGCAATGCAGACTATGTCTTCACTAGTATCTTTACATTAGAAATTATTCTTAAGGTAACCAATCTGAGCAATACACTCGTTTTCTCCTCCCTTCCTACCTTCCTTCCTTCCTATCACTCTTTTTCTTTTTTTTTTTAACACCGTTATTATCTCTACACAAAAGATTGTTTATCTTTTGATTTTGTCATTTTGGTAGTTGTTTAAAAAGTCCTCTGTGAAATTTTGATATTCAAACTTGTAATTCAGGGCCTGTATCAAAACAATGCCTTTAGAGGAATCACAATGAAAGGATGATCCTGTTGGGAAAAGTAAGAGAGGACCAAGAAAAAGGTCATCACCCTGTAAATTTATCTTTCTACCCTGGCCAGTCATTCCAAAGCAGGATTTGTTTGCTGTGCAAGGAATCCTGAGCACATACACCTCTTACACCTGCTACAACCCAAAGAGAAGGTCTCCATTCTGCACAAGTCATGAGGCCTGGCCAGAGGGCAACCAATGACTTCTGTAAGGTGACAAGGTGCACAGTCAAGTAGGAGACAGGGAGACCAGTGCAGAAGCTGACTTTTTGGGTGTGGAGGGGTAACCAAGGGTACAAATCACTGAAACACCAAGGACTGTAGCTGCGGATGAAAATCGCTGCATTGCCTGTTTGAAACCTGGCTTCCCATTTCCCAGGAACATGCTCTATACCAAGGGAAACGTGCAGGAGAATAGTTTAGCTTGTTCTTAACTCTAATATTCCCAAGCTGGTAGGCTAATAATTTAAATAACAGTAATTGAGCAAAGTTCTGGATTTCTAAATACTAGGTTCACTTGGCAGGTTGGGTTTTTTCTCAGCAAGCTAGTTTTAAGTGCTGGCAGGAAGTACCTCAGAGTTGCTCAAATCTTGCAACTCAAGACCCTAATAACAATATCCGTACTGAAGGCTGGCAAGCAGAGTGGCCCCTGCATATCTATGTAGAGAATTGTGCTTTCTGATATGACTTAAAAAGACCAAAGTCATAACGTTCTCCAAAGCAATGTACATATTATGCTTGTGTACCGTGTGCATCTGTGTTTACACGATAAAACTGAACATGCACATACCAAATGGCTGATCAAAAAGGCCTGTCAAAAGAGGAGAACATCTCAACAGCAACACCTAAAAATAAAACAATAGTTCAAGGCACCTGTCTGAACTTTCAGTTACTAATTCTGCTCCCAATGACGCAAATGGTAGCACTCCTAATAACTTCTGTGGAAGCAGAACATAACCCAACCCTCTGGTGTATTGCTCCATTTTCTTCAGGGGAGCGTTCTGCATAGTACCTGAGCCTTCCCGATGTCTTTCTGTTAACTTCAGTGGATTTATGTCAGCACCCCTGGATATTCTATGGGTTCAAGTGGAAGAGGAGTGCAAGGACTATAAATGTTTAAGAAATTCTTCTGTTCTTATCCTGCCAGGTCCTGCCTCACTAGTTGCTTGTTTTCTCAGGGTGCATTTCTCTGCTGCCTTGCATTGAGCACAATGTTTTGCCCCACAGCAAAGTTAGCGTAAATGGTAAGAAACAAAAGAATAAATGGCAGTAAGATGTTCAAGGCTGTAGAGGAACAATCTTCATCCATCCTCATGTTGCTGATGACACCTGCAAGCCTCACATTGCCATGGTGGAGTCTGGTGAATCTTAGCAAGGTGACCACCAGGGTTTTTTTAAATGGCACCGTAAAAGCTTGTTGAATGCCCCAGATGGGAGGCAGACATAGATTATACATTCTTTGAGAGTCTCCTCTGAGATAACAAAATCTCTCAAGAGGCTTGAGAGAACCAGTTAGCGTAGAACTTAAACTCAGCAGAGCTTCCCCTCCTGATTTCAATGGTGTCTCCTTTCTTTCAAGATTGCCATACAAAATCTAACCAGTAAAGGGCATCTTTACCACCTTTGTTATGGCAAGAACCCCTCCCTCCTTCCCCACTTGAATGTGTCTATAAGTATAAATTCTTAGCCAAGACCAGAGTTTATACTTCCTCCCCTTCTAAGTTCTGTCTGACTGATTGCTAGTCAGTTCCCTGATGTCATGGACGCTTGGGGAGGAAAACAATCTGATATACCATGTGCCCTTTTACCCTCCTCTGAATAAAATTGTCACAAGGAGGCATGGCTGGAAACCACTAGCAGGTGTGCCATCCTGAGCTATTAGCGGGAGCCAGAAAACTCCAGTTTTAATTTCTAGTTCATAATTCTCAGCTGGGACTCTGGCTGGAGCTTGTCATTGAGTAACAGTCTCACGGTGTCTGCTTCAAGTTACTTTAGACGTCTAACTTAGATGAGTTGCAGAGGACCAAATTTAGAAGGCTATGTTCCTAACCCAGGTAATGGAGGGAGTGTAGCAATTGTGGGGATAGGATTTCTTCAAAGCAGATACATTAGATCGCTCACCAAGTCTAAGGTAGGTGGTATAAATCACCTCATCACCTCACTCTCTTTAACCGTGGCAGACTCATTTAGTAACATTCTGTAATTGAGCTCAGTCAAAAAATCAAATTCTGAGCTCAGAAGTGTTTAGTTCTGACATTGTGGCTGAGACCCATTTCTGTTTACGCTGTCACTTAATCTGATTCTGGACCTATGACATCCCCCCCAACACCAGCAGGTATTCAATACCTATTCATACCCATAAAGGGGAGAAAGTCCCTTGTAACATGTGTAAAATCTTTCACTTCCTCTACTGGATGATGTTCGTAATTATTACCTCCTCCAAGAAACCACCCTGTTTCAAGGAATCTTAGCTTGAGCTTTGTGAGGAAAACCAATGGGGAAACGCAACTGCTTCTAAAAATAAAAGTGAGGAAGCTGGATAGGGGTAGGAAAAACAGATACAGGATTGAGCTGAACAGAAGTAGCAGACTAAAGAGAGCAGGATTTCCTCCTGTGGCTTCAGTTCGGCTCTAAACCATTAAATACCTGAGAGATTCTGTTTTTTCTTCACGGAGGGAAGAGAAGTCAACTGTCCACTGCAGCTGGTCTAGGCATTGCAAAACATTACAAAAAAGCACTTTTTATTTTATGTATATAATGCAAGCATCATACTCACAAGTATCCTCTGCCATTGAAGAAAAAGGGAAAAACATATAACTGCAAAGAGTAGTTTTTGCAAGCAGTCATTCTGCTGCTTTGCCGTTTCTAAATGTTATGTACTCTATGCACTCAGAGTGCGTATTTTCCTCACTGAACCTAGTATTGGTTTTCCCTAGTTAGGTCTTTCATGGTTATCTTACTGCCTTCTTCACTCTCTTTTCTTTCAATGGGGACTCAGATTCTCCTTTGGGGCCTGGGGGTGAATTGCCTGCTGTGTTAGAAATACTGCCCCTCCCCAGTTATATATTCTGAGCACAACCAGACGGGTTTGGTTTCTGAACAGATGCTAATGGCAAAGTGTGTTTGTGTCTTCATGTGCCTTCCTGCAGATGACCGCATACGGGGCTTTCCTACATAAAGGCTCCTTCTGCAGAAACTATTTCAACATCTTAGACCTGCTGGTGGTCAGCGTCTCTCTCATCTCTTTTGGAATCCAGTGAGTGAGATATTTTTCAACTTGCGGGTTTTTTTGGGATCACAGGGCCAGGTTGGGAGGTGATACCTCAGTCTCGTTGTCTTATCTGGGTAAGATTTTTCTCATGAGCCTGGAGGTATTTTTCTCAGATTATTCAAGACCATTAAAATGAATCCTCAGGAGAAGATGTCATAATTGGGAAATGCTGCACTAGTTGACCTGGAAAGGCAATCTTCCAGAAAGAGCAACTGAGAACAAGAAACTCAGTCCATTGGGAATCATGACACTTAGCTTTGATCCAAGATCTCTGATTCACTGTATCAGTTCAGGACAGTTAAGTGCCTTACAGTTCCCTCCTAGAGCTCTCATAACCTCTTTGGAAAATGGGGTGATAACGTTTTGCTATTTCCTAAGATGTTGTGAGTCTTGGTCAATGGAAGACCATCAAGCGCTTGAAGTGCTGTGTGAGAATCTCCAGAGTGCTGGTGGCAGTGACAGTTGATCCTGCTTCTGTCACGCCATTTTCTGTTGGTTGATCTGTTAATTTGCTAAATGACTTTATAGATTTACTTGACTATGTGGAACTCTGTGTGTCGGATGGGGAGTTTCCTCAACAGTAACACATCTGATAAAAAGTAAGCTCCCAGTTATTACCATTACAAGTTAGCAGCTCACGTATGTTGTGTTCCAGAGCTAAGTCAAACAGAAGGATTTGTCAGGTCCATTGGGTTTTCAATCAAGGTCTTAAGAATGGCACGGTACTCATTTTGACCTGCTGTTTCTTTCTTACAGACCTAACTAGACTCTCAGTGTGTTAACGATAAAACTGTTCCCAAAATCAGTAGGAGGGCCTGATGTCATACAGCATGGAGAAGATTCTCAGCTCAGGTTTTAGTCTTAGAAGATGCAGAGAGCTTTGTTGTAGTAGACAGTTGCATTCAGTACTTAAGTACATAAGTCACTCTAATCAGTTCAGTGGGAGTTTCCACATCCTTAAATTTGTGTACACACTTACTTGATTTGCGAGATCAGAGGCTAAACATATTGCAGGATCAAACTCCAGGTGGACTGTATACCTTTAATGCTGGAGTCACCTAGAGCTTCTACTCTTCTATGAATATTTCAGTGAATTACTTCTTTGAGCCTTATCTGAAAATGTCTTATGATGACTACATCGTGGCGCAATTTCCATTAGATATCTACTGAGTATTTGGCAGCTTGCCCTGCTTAAAAAAAATACCTTGCCTATGTTCCATTCCCTGCATTAATACAGCAGAGATGCTGAAAGCCAGAAGAATGTGTCCTGAGCATGCCCAGAGCAGGAAACAAGACCTATGAAGATAATAACAGAGAGTAGTTTCCTTACTGCTCAAGTGCCATAGCAAAGAGCTGACTCCCTAACTGTCCTAAGCAGTCTAAGGCTATGTAGGATTTCAAACAAGAAAGAGTGGGTGAAGTCCATCTGCCCTCACAGCACACCCCATATATTGCTGGATCTCTCAAACCTTCCAATACTTTCTTTCAGGTCCAGTGCCATCAATGTGGTGAAGATCCTACGTGTTCTGCGAGTGCTCAGACCACTAAGGGCCATCAACAGAGCCAAAGGACTAAAGGTTAGAAGAGTTCTAATGCATTCTGTAAACTATAAATTCAAGTTATTTCAGGCTACAAGGACTTTTGCAATGGTTTAAGTAGTGTGTCAGCAGAATCACACAATGGTTGAGTTTGTAAGGGGCCTCTGGAGGTTGTCTTGCCCAACAGCCCTGCTCAAGAAGGGCCACTAAGAGCAGGTTGCCCAGAATCATGCCCTGGACCAAGTCATCTGGCTTTTGAATATCTCAAAGGAGGGAGACACCACAGTCTCTGTGGACAACCTATTCCAATGCTCAGTCACCCTCACAGTAAAAAAGTGTTTCCTAATGTTCAGATGAACCTCCTGTGTTTCAGTTTGTGCCTGTTACCTCTTGTCCTGGCAGTGGGCACCACTGAAAATAGCCCAGCTCTGTCTTCTTTGCACGCTCGCTTCAGGTATTTGTATACATTGACAAGATTCCCTCAAGCCTTCTCTTCTCTAGACTAAACAGTCCCAGCTCTCTCAGCCTTACTTCATGAGAGGGATGCTTCAGTCCTTTAATCATCTTTGTCACCCTTTGCTGGACTCCTTCCAGTACCCCCGTGGCTCTCTTGTACTGAAGAGTCCAGAACTGGACACAGTACTCCAGGTGCAGCATCACCAGTGCTGAGTGGAGGGGAAGGACCACCTCCCTCAACCTGCTGGAAGGGCTTTGCCTAAAGCAGCCCAGGATACCATTCACCTTCTTTGCAGCAAGGGCTCATATTCAACTTCGTGTCCAGCAGGATCCCCAGGTCTTTTTCTGGCCCAGCATCACCACTAAGGTTAAAAGATGTAGTTTGCTAGGGTTACAGATGGGTTCACAAGCCTATTTTAACTTAGCCTTGCTGTATCAGATAAACTCCTTCCTGTGGGCTGGTGGGTGTCCAGCTACGTAAGTCGGTGCTGCTCGAAGTTAGAGAGCTGAGCTCTGGTATTTTGCTATCCCTTTCTGCCTGCTTCTGACAGTACGGTGAGGAAAGTAACAAGTTGGTCTTCTCTCCACTTTCCTGAGACATTACTTAATGGATAATAGCTAAATTAAATTATTTTATTTGTGTTTATAGTCTTGGGCTTCTCCCTTAGCCAACGCAGCTCAGAACAATCCTGAAAGTACTTTTGTTCCTATCTTCCATTTGCAGCATGTGGTCCAGTGTGTGTTTGTCGCCATCCGAACCATCGGAAACATTGTGATTGTCACCACTTTGCTGCAGTTCATGTTTGCCTGCATTGGAGTTCAGTTGTTTAAGGTAAAACCATTAGGCCCATTCATTCATGCATTACACTGAGCTGCATTCCGGGGTGGGAAGAAAAATAGTATGAAGAAGCCTGAGGAAGGGGAGATGGAATCTTCTGTATGACAGACAGAACATGTGGGGCACCATCAGTGTTACCTGGGCTCATGTTACCAGCAGTTTCCCAAAACTGGACCAGGCATATTCAGAACTCCTGCCGTTCATCTGTAATTGTAAGAAATCGTCAGTAACCACCTTCTTCCCTAAATAGTTTGTGGCATGACTTAGTGCCAGGGAAGTGAAGGGGGCTGTTCTAAAGGATTAGTACTTGCAGGCTGTCTACCCCTCATCTTGTAGAGGAAGGGGCATGCCAGATAATCACAGGAGGTTAGTCATTCACTTCTTTATGTCTGCTTTTATTTCTTTGCCCTTCACCATCCTTCTGACCACTGATGTTCTGCAGCACTCGGTGGTCATGCATCTTAGAACGTACACATAAAAGTATTGTGCAAGCAGATGAAAGCCTGTGCTCTGAACTACCCAGGTGCAGGCAACTACCGATCCAGTTTGTTCACGTCTACCTGCAAAAGAGCATGTAAACATACCGACAGCAAGTAGTAAATGCAGTCTGCTTGCTACATGGTCTGCCCTAACCCTCGCACTGTCAGGAAAGTAAGCTTCAGTCCTCTTTCTTCCTTTTCAAGGGCAAGCTATACAGCTGTACTGATAGCTCCAAACAGACAGCAGCGGAATGCAGGTAAGTCTGCCCTTTCCCAGTTAGTGCCCTTCGCTGGCCACCCACTCTCAGGGCCTTGTACTGGAAGTGCAGTTCTGCCATGCTGTCTTTCTGCTCTCCATCCACAGAGGGTACTACATTACATACAAGGACGGTGAGGTGAACCAGCCGATGATACAGCCCCGGAGCTGGGAGAACAGCAAGTTTGACTTCGACAATGTCTTGACTGCCATGATGGCACTCTTCACTGTCTCAACCTTTGAAGGCTGGCCAGAGTGAGTGCTTCGTGGGCCAGTGCAACACTGGCAATGTCCTTGTTCATTTCAAAAGAGAAAATTCAAACTCAGAACATAGTCTTTCCCTTTCTACATATTTAGACAAGTCAAAAGCATTAGATGTAGCAATAGTGGCAGCAATCATTGTAGTATTATGTACTTTGTCATTTCCTTGGGTCTGCAGGAATTGCTGCTCCTGTACTTGCGAACAGTGCACAGCACTGTCTCTAGCTTTTAAAAAATGATTGCCAGTAGTAGCAGTGATAGCAGTATTTGTTACAAACAGTAGGGATATAAGCGGATATGAAATGCCCATCAGGAACTTACCAGTTCTGCTAGGTGTTGCAAATTGCCTGATGAAGCTGGCAGGGCAATATGAAACACAGCAGTGCTGCCTCTGCAGTACGGGCAGGCACGGGATGTCCTACCAGGTTGTGCTGTCTGTGCCACAGGGGCCAAGGACCCTCATGGCTCCACTCTGTCAGAGTGACATGAGCATGCAGGGTATCAGGGTTTGACCCTGAACTGTGTCACCAGGTGATGCCAACAGCAGCATTAACAAATGTTAAAAGTGCTGAGATCCCCTTTTCTCACAAAACTCAGTTCCCGACAACACAGACTCTCCTGTTTTCTGTTAACTGAAGGGTATGCTTTTGTTTTAAATTTTAATTGTTCAACTGCGAAAACATTTCACTCCTGAATAGGTTCAAACATGTAAAGTTAGTTAAGAGCCATGTCTTCTCTTTTGCAAGAATTTACACTCAAATCAGTGCAAGTCTGTGCATCTGTGAGTGAAGTAATTTTGATAAGAGTAGAAGAAAATCACAAAGTTAAACTTTATAGTATCATCTGTAAGGCCTCGAGACAGTTACAGATTTTCTCTGCATTGGGCTCCTGTTTGCTTTCAGGTTGCTGTATAGGTCCATTGATTCCCACATGGAGGATGTGGGACCCATCTATAATCACAGGGTTGAGATCTCCATCTTCTTTATTATCTACATCATCATCATTGCTTTCTTCATGATGAACATCTTCGTTGGTTTCGTCATCGTCACATTTCAGGAACAAGGAGAACAAGAGTACAAGAACTGTGAGCTGGACAAAAACCAGGTGATTTACAACTTCTTGCTGTTAAAGGTAGAAAATATGTTGAGAATTAGCATTTAAGAGAGAAAGACATACAAAGAGGAATATGTGAAGATTGCCAACAACGTAAAACACTAAGTTGGCTTCACTGCCATCTTTCAGGACCCAGGTAAAAAAAATCTTGTTTAAACATGTGCTCAAGGGACAGCATTTACTTAAAAACGTGTGCTGTACCATTTGATTCACTGAGATTAGATGAACATGGTAGCATTGTCTGGCCAAAGTAAATGCACATGGAACTCTGCAATGGGTAGAATTTACACATTCAGATTATGACCTAAAAGAAATTATCAAGCATTTTCGTTTCAGTAAAAAACTTGAAACATGTTGTGGTTTTATTATATTTGGAGGTAGCTGACCAAACCTGTATTTTGTTTTTGATTTTTAAATCTACCCTGCCTCTTTCACAGCGCCAGTGTGTAGAATATGCCCTGAAGGCCCGGCCCCTGCGGAGATACATCCCTAAAAACCAGTACCAGTACAAAGTTTGGTATGTGGTCAACTCCACGTATTTTGAATACCTGATGTTCGTTCTGATCCTGCTCAACACCATCTGCCTGGCCATGCAAGTAAGTAAGCCAGCAGAAAACCTTACAGGTGGTGAGTTGTTAGATGTTGTTGGGGAAAATGTAGAAATGGCCAAGATTCACCTTCACACCATGTATTAACGGAGAGGGGCAGCAACATGATTAAAACAATTGTACCGTGTTCACTTCTGATGAGATTTAGTTAAAATTAGAAATCTGCCTCTCCTCCTTTTCCTGCTAGTATCTGACACTTTCAACAATTCTGTTTCAACTCCTTAAAAACAAACAAATGAAAAACCCCCAACATTTACACCACAGCCACTATAACAAGTGATTTCTCAATTCTGACTTGTCTTCTGTGAAATGCAGGAATAAGCCCAGAACCGCCACTCACCTAAGATCTGCATTTTAAATTTGGGGCTTTTCTGTGCTAAAAAGTGGAGAGCAAATATTTTGGCAAACAAGGCAATCAAGGAAACTGGGGATAGATGGTAGGAAGGCCCTAGTATCTCCTTTATTCTGTGTCAAGAACCATAGAAAATGTCTAGATAACCTCTAGAGGCTGTATTGTCTATCCCATCACCTAAAGGCCGGATCAGCTCCACCTAAAAGCATTTCTTGATAGGTGTTTGCCTAACTTGCTTCGCTGCTGATGCTACTGATTGCCTTACTACCCACTATGCTGTGCATTCATTTTCCTTACTGTGTGAAGGTTTTCCAGACATCTAATGTGAATTCACCAAAGAAACATTTGCAGCTGGATCTACAAGAATAGCAAGTAGAGGTAGCAGGTTAACATGTGCAGGTGGAACAGCAGTAAAAGAGAAGGAATCAAAACCTTTACCAAGTAGCCAGCTTACAAAAAAGAAGTCTTACATTCCTTTCAGTCAGGAAATGGGCCCTCATAGACACAAAGTGTTCTGTAGGTTTCCCCAAGTCTCTATTTTCCTGGCTTGTTCCTTCCAGTGCTTCTGCCCAAGGCCTCCCTCACCTCCCTTTCATTTTCAGTCAGTCACAGACTCCACCTGCTAAGCCTGTCTCCACACTCATATCTTCCTTGGCCACTCAAGCCCCATTCTCTTCTACGCTCTGTTTGCTTAAGAACTAGTCTGCCCATCACTCTCCTCCCTGAAACCCATCCTTCCTCCTCAGCCAGCCAGCCTCTGAACTTCCTTCCCTGGTCTGTGGCCCAGACAGTCCAGATCTCCACTCCTCAACCAGTCCTTCTCACTACACAGACTCCCAGTTACAGTTACCCCTCCATGGACCTACTTTCTGGTCTCTCTCTGCCCTTTCCATTTGATTGTCTGCTGAACTTTGTTCCCTTCTCTAGTTTGTCCCTTACTGTGAGTCCAACTCCCCATGCACTCCTATGCCAACTTCCCTTCTGACCTTAGCATCCCACCACTAAATTTTCCACTGGATCAATCCCAGTCTGCCCCTCTCCCAGCCTCCCCTCAAAACTAGCCTCAGTTTCCTGTCGCTCACTAACAGTCTAAGTATATATTCACAGTCAGTTGCCACCTTATTTTCTGTCACTGCCTCCAGCCCAATCTCACCAGATTTCTTGACACCCTTAATTTTTCTTCATCTGGTCTATCTCTTTCCTGTCATTGAAAAGGCTTCCTCTGCTGTCTTGCCTAAGGTACCAATAGAGAAGTCAGGCAGCATGAGCACAATAAAGTTCTCTGCTCTCAGCTGAAGTATCTACTGCCCTGCTGCCATGCAGCAATGGAGGGGGACTATCGTGTTCACTCTGAAGCTTTGAATCGTGCTCTGTTGCTGTCACAAAGGTGCATGCCCACAGCAAGGAGAGCTAGAAGCTGTGAGATGTTTGTGAGCCCACAGGCAGGACAACACCTCTGGAGATTCTAGGAAGTCTGTGTCCATCTTGAGAAAAGTACAGTTTTTCAAAGGCTTATACTGTGGCCGGATTTGGGTCAAACAACGTAAGGGACAGCAAACACAAAAGCCACGTTCCAGTAAAATTTCAGGTTTTTAAGCAGAGTCCTGTAGGTACTAGATTGTTTCAACAAAAAAGTTACAACAAATTTTGAAAATACTTCAACAATTTATTTTTCCCTGACCAGGCTTTCAGCTGCAGATGAGTTGTTTGAACTGAAACTCCTTTAAATAAATCACCATGCACCAATGCAGAATATGAAAATTCATGCCAGCTGGCTGAAGTATATCAATGTTAATGCAACTACAGATGGGGTCTTCTAACATGAACTGGAAGATGTCCATAGAATAAGGAAGTGCAATCAGTCTCCATGATCTAGAAAGAGAGATGTGAAGAGTGAGGTGGCAACATTTGCAGAATTAATAAAAAGAAGACAGAGAGTAACTTCATAAGATCTTAATAAAGTTAAGTGAATGAGCAGCACAATTGCAAATTTAATTCGGAGTTGACAAATGCAAGATAATGCATATTGGAAAGATACGATTGGAGCTGCTTCTATTCTTTGCAGAATCCTGAATTAAGTGCAATTACTTGGGGAATAGCTTGGTATCATTATGAACAGCTCAATGAAACCTCTGTTCACTGTGCAGTAGCAATCAAAAAAAAGGTAATTGAGGTGTTATGGAAGGGTGAGATAACAAACACAGTTGGAGACTGTCTTGTACCATTATGCAAATTTATAATGAGCCCTCAACTGGAATCATAAGTGTGATTTTGGTAACCTCCACTCAAAAAGTTTTTTTAAAAATGTTAGGAGATCCAGAGCGAGATAGCAGAAATGGCTAGAGCTAAGGAAATGCTTGTATGTGAAGGGAGATGAGAATTCTAAACTGAAAAAATGGAGCATGCTGGGGTTTTGTTTAGCGAACCTCAACATGAAGGGAGATCAGGAAGGGGCCCTGTGGATTCCTAACGAGCTGGTATATCTGTTCCTCATGCTGCTGCCGGGATGCTATTTTTCAGCACTACGGTCAAAGCTGCATGTTCAAGGAAGCCATGAATATCCTCAACATGCTCTTCACTGGCCTCTTCACTGTTGAGATGGTCCTGAAATTAATCGCCTTCAAACCCAAGGTAGGTGCTACAGACATAGAGTTTCCTGGCCTCTGTGTGTGTGTGCATGTGTGCGGGGCAGCTGTGAGGAGAAGGAGGAGGTGAAACTTTCTGATCTATTACCCCAGCAATAACTGAGCTGGGCAGTTGCTTTCTGGATTGGATTCTCACATATATTTAATAACTTTTTCACTGGAGAGTAGACACACTAAAAAAAAAAAAAGTAACACCTGCTAATAGAGAAGGTTCCTAGTTCTCTGTTTTCACTAAGCTAGAATAGTGACACTATGTTAAGGCTGTAATATGTTTTCCATTCTGAATGTTATTCTAATGCTCGCTCTGACTTTCCTTAAATCAGTTATAAATAGCATCCCATGATTAGTCTCCTGGCCCAAGTGAAGTTAATCAAGCATGACTCATTTTGAATTATGAGCTTTGGAAAAAAATGTTTCTTCTGGGAAGGCTACATTTCAGTGATAGTTTGGATTACTTTAGGTTTGAGTTCAAGACTTTGTTGATAACATTGAGTACCCCACCAGGTCCTGTCTGAAATTTTTGTCCTGTCTTGGGGCCATGGCATTCTGCTGGTATAGCTGCACCGTGGTGTATGTTTATAACCTACAAGCTCTTCCAACTAAGTTGGCACAGCTACTGCAGGACAAGGACAAAGATCCTGACCTCGCATAATTTAAGATTACACAAGGCTTTCTTCTTTGAAGTTTAGATTCAGTGATGTGTCATAAGCAGTGGAATCCATATACCTAAACACAGGTACCTCGTGCCATTTCATATCTTCAGTGATGACTTGATACTTGGGGTTGTAACTTGAAGGATGCCTTGATACATTGGGGTTGGCAAATGTTGTCTGAAGCATCAGTTATGACACTGGTGAACAAGAGAGCAGTCATGTCTGACAGTCATGCTTGTCCTTCATGTTAAACATTTACAGGATCCCTGAAGTTAAGTGCTCCTCACATTTACAGGATCCCTGAAGTTAAGTGCTCCTCACATTTACAGGATCCCTGAAGTTAAGTGCTCCTCACAGCTCTAACCTAACATCTTCCTCATCCTCTGCTCAGAAACTTTTCTCTCCAGTTCTACTGAATTTGGTCTTACTTTTTCTTGCTAACTCTGTGTTGACTTTACTCCCACCCAACCCCTCTCTCCTTCTTCCACACTTTCTAGAACTTTTTCTTGGAAGAGTCATAATTTGATTTTTTTCCTGAGCCAAATATCGCTATCCTTTCTCAGATGTAGTTCTCCTGAAAGTTAGAAGCATCTTGTACAGTCTCGGTGAAGGACTGATTTTGTGTGTGTTCTCAAACACTGTCTTAGGAAATTTAGAAGTATCAGCATCTGTTTCAGAAGGGATCTACCTTTCACTTCTGGGATTTTGCCACGTCTATTAGCAAGCAAATCTTCTGGCACTTTGTAAAAATCTTATCTGCACATTATATACCCAGAAATGTACCTCACAGGATTTTTAATGTTCTTGTGATTCTGTGGTTGTACTTTACAGGAGATTCTTAACTTTGAGAAAGATGAGGTTCTCAACAGAATTTTTTCTGAGCATTTAGGGGAAAAGTAGAACCAGTTCAAATACTGAGCTCTGTACGTGTACAGGGAAGACAGTAGCTGACGTGGTTGCCTCTGACAGGAAGGAATGGGACTTAATGATATTGGAGGTCCTTTCTACCTCCTGTCTTACTCTCCCGTGTTCAATCTCCTTTTCCAGTTTTGCTGCACAGCAAAGTATTAAACAAAATCAACTGAGGGTAAGCACATATCCTCCAGATAGCAAAACACAGGAAAAGATTGTCTAAAGAGATTGTAGAGCTTCCATAATTTGAGGTGTTAAGATTTAGTTAGGGGAACCTTTTGTTAGAAACAGGTTAGGAATGTATGATCTGCTTTGGGACAGGGAAATGGACTAGACCATCTCACGAGGTACCTCTAAGCCAAATTTTTCATGATTCTGTAATTTTCAAGCTAAATCCCCGGCTACTATGCTAAAGTAAAAGTGAGAATATAAATGAAGTTTTCCTTGTGACCAGAAAATGAAGTCTTCTCAACTAAGGATCAGACAACAACCTCAGGGTGAAAGAACAGGCGTCAAAAAGAATAAATCTGTTTCAAATTTGGCCTGCATGCCAAAAATAGTACTAACTCTTAAACTGCTATTTTAATTAAATAATGCAGGAAAATAAACAACATTTTAGAAATGGAACCACAGGATTTACAGGGAAGAAAAACAGGAATGAACTTGTGAAAGCAATGAATACAGCTAAAAGACTTGCCGGCAGCAGTATATACACACTGGATTATGTTGAGTACCAGTTCAGTGACTCAGCTTTGGAAACGTCAGAATGCCTTGGGTAACTTGCCGTTGTCTGTTCACTACTGTTTGGGCTGATGCGGACCAACACTGGGGGGCACAATCTGCTTCTCTTTAGGTTGCCCATTTGGGATTCAAGCTGAATTTGCCTGGAATATGTTCTGATGTGGGAGTCTTCCAGCATGAAGCAAGCTGTTACCTCAGCCCTCTGCTTGGCCAGGCATTGTGTCCTATCATGCAATGAAAATCTTATATTTGGAGATGGAGGTTGTCCCCAGGAACACTAGCTGAAGAAGTCCAAAAGGATTTCATTGTCACCTGGGTGAATGTCACTACAGCTCAGTTGTCATCCTTTCCCCCCGGACCAATCAAGTCACCCAGACAAAGAAATGAGATGCTAAGTGGTAATAGTATTTCCCAGATGTGAAATGGCAAGCTTAAATGCTCATTAAATCTCTGCTGAAGACAGATTTGGCTGCCATTTCCAGAGCAATAAAACACAAAACAGCCTTTGTTTAAGCTGTTTGTCTCATTTTGAATTTGTGCCCAAACATCACTCTTTTCTATCTGAAGCGTACCTTGAAGTGAGGGAGCTGTAAGCTTCATGACTGACAACAAGTCAACAGGAAACTTGGGTAGCTGAAGGTGTTGTGTGCTTGCCTTCGAGACAAGCCCGAGGAGAATGCGGCAGAACAGAACTGAGCGCAGAACTGAAGCTGGTAAAATTTGCGCTGTTTTCTCCAACTTTGTGGTGCTTAACCCGGCAATGGGTGCTGCAGCTAACCTTCTGCTACAGCGAGCAGTGTAGTAACGGACTTGTAACTCTGAAGCAGCCACCACAGAGCTTTCCCTTGCACAGTCACTTCCTAAAGGCACCATGGAATGAATGGTCTGCAGCAGCAACAGGGGGTCATGGTTTTCTCCATCTGTGCAAGGTAGAACAAGAAGCTCCTGTTTATTCATACCTTTATCAGAGAGAATTGCTAAGGGAACTGGGACAGATCTTTGAGGTCCTCAGGGCTGCTATCACCCTAGCTTCCTACAGAAGTCACCACAGGGATGTGCCCCTGCAAAACACCTTTGAGGGAAGCCTGGATTTCCTAATATGCAGAGTTCCTGCTGCAGGCAGTGGTGTGGCAATCACTACTATATGAAGTAATATAATGCATTACAATGCTACCTGTCTATTATGTGCCTAACAACAGAGAAGGTGGCAGTCTGACTCAGTAGATTTTTTTACTGTATCCACTTTTTATTTCTTCACTCCTATTCTGTGAGGAGACTTATCCTTCTTATTTGCTACTCTTGATAGTAAAGGTAAAAAAAGCAAAAGCAGTCAGTTGCACAGACATTAAGTAAGACCACATATGTGCCTGACTGCAAAGAATCGACATGGATGATGCAGCCCTGCAGCTGGTTCTTGTGGTAAGAGCAAGGATTTACTCACTGAATAAGGAGCCAAGTTTGAGTCAGGGCTCATCTCCCTAACACTTACAGAAAGTATGTGGAGGGGGTAGAAAGACAAGGGCTTTCCTAACTAAACATGCTGTTATTGTTGAGATTGGTTGCTCTAGTCATCCAGTCCATTTGATACCTGTCCTTTTTATTGACCATATTCTGTGAACAGAGATTTGGTTTGTTTATTCTCCAGGGAGGCTATAGAGAAGAGGGGTGTGTCAGCTGGAGCAGCTGCTGCTGGTATAGATCGTGCATGCCAGGCAGGGACAAGGCCAGCCTCTGACCGCCCCTGTGTTTGTGTGTGGCACATTTTCTGGAGGAGAGGATCAGTTCTCCTAGGCTTTTTGCAGGATAAATCTGTTTAAGACAGCTCATCTGCATCTGATGCAGTCTTGACGGGCGAGTATGCTAACAATGAGCAAGAGAGGTTTGGGATGATTAGGGCTGCTGATAAAGAAAACATCCACTGCATGCCCTGCATCTCCTTACAGAGTATTAATGTGCTGTTCTGAAGCATAACTCCCAAATGGACCTGAGTGTTTGTCTTGGCTGACACTCATAAACTGATTCAGGACTAGTTACTTCAAAGACACAGTCAGTCTGAAAGTAATGCTGTTGAGCCAAGGCCTTTTGCTCCTTTGTTTTTCTAATTTTATAAATTCTCCAGCCAGTCTGTTGAGCTGTTTTCCAGTTCCTATATGGAGTAAGCTGCAGCTACTTGGTGCTTTTTCCAGAGAAAAACTACTAAGGGAACGAGAGGTACTGTGTTCTCTGGGGTGCTCACAGCTACCACTGTCCCAGCTTCTCTAAAGAAGAAATCTCCGCAAGCTCCAGTCCATGAAGGGCTAGCTGCTTTACAAAACCTGCCTAGGGTTTATCTTTTCAGCTCAAAAACAGCAACTTAAAATTCCCGTTCATATGAAGCTGCGCCGTCGGTCAACATATGTGCTAATATGGGGATGGATATTCCTGCAGGAATTTCAGGTTTTTCCAGCTGCCTGGAATGGGCTATTTTACTGATGAATCACATCTACTTTTTCTTTCAGGGAACGTTTCATCTATCCTGTTATTAGCTAGGGCAGGGCTAGTAGTCCAAGAGCTATGAATTTTCTACTGCTGTCCCTGTCATCTCAAAATAGGCAAGACATAGCAGTGTAATGACTGCCATGCATAAAGTAAAGCACATGTTCGTATATTTTTTCAAATTCAGATCTGCAAGTGGAAGGGG